TAAGTGTGTGTGTGCGCGCGCGCGCACACACTTGGAGCGTGGTTGTTGGTTTAGGTGTGCTGACTGCGACGGTGAGGCTGGGGCATTGACTGTGAAGGAGAATGAAGGGAAGGGTGTAATTAGCCGCCGATGGCTTTGTTTGAATAGGAAGCAACTTGGAGTCATGACTTTGTCGATTCAATTTCTGCTTCTGTATTGGGAAACCACGAAAACTTCACGCGGACTGATTCAAGAAGATGATGGTGTCATGCAATTTCCTAATAAGATCAACATTCTGTTCTTTTTCTCCAAAACTCTAGGCATCCCAAAATTTTATTTATCCCTGCTGCTACTTAATTAATTAACCAATTTTGTCGCCAAAGATTGTACGTTTCACCCACTTTTCATGGACGTGTGTGAAAACGATCGAACAATAGGAAAATAATGGAGAGGTTGAAACTGGAGGAATCGTCCTGAAAGTTAATGTTCGCCCCATGTCAAACCAGTGAAATAATAACGTGTTTGGAAATTCTTAAAAAAATAAAGCCAAATATTCCAAAAGGGGGTGAGGACTGAGGAGCAACGAGCAAGGGCAGCTACGAGAAGCATGACGCATTGACACCATTCACTGTTCGTCTTGGTTAATTGGAGCCACGTCCTTCCGTTAACGTTCCGATTTACTTTATGGTGGATGCTGGGAATGTTCTCACACAACAGACCGTACTAATTTTAGTCGTCAACAGAATATTCCGATTCCCTAAAGTTCACGAAGGAAAAATATGCTGGGCTGTTTCAATTTTGTCTTTACTGGGACGCGCTCCATATGCTGCCAAACAAAGAATCCAAGTTGCTCATCTGCCACGTGGGCAAATGGGATTCGGCGGATAGATGGAAAGAGGGAAAGCGATGAAAGCCGTAGTGTACTGCATAAACCCCAAAAAGGAAACACGAGCGACAAGAGTACGGAGGGTGATATGGCCAAACTGAATCAAAGCCTCCCCCGCCGCTGCTTGCTTTTTGATCGACTTGGTTGAGTTATCAAGCACCGTGGGGAATAAATAGGAAAGGCAATCACAGAGACATGGATGTCGGGATAAAACTGGAAGATGATGGGATTCTGTGAATTTAGTGACCTTTCTCTTGGGTGGATAATATTCTCGAGGACTGGACAATTTCTGCAGACAGCTACTTCCCTTCTAACTAATGTTTTGTTTCTCCACGACTGTCCTGTTCCTCTCTCAAGTGATCGCTGATGGTTTTCCTCCAAAAAAAAAAAGGTCAAGAAGTGTGGATATTTTCACCGAAACGGCTTCGCCTCGTAATTACTGCATTTTCCCTCTGATTGAGAACGTTACCCATCCTTCCTATTATAGCACAGCAGGCCCGGGCTGGCCCAAGAAAATCAAGAGGCCAAACTTTTTATCGCCGACCTTATATCCACTCGAACCCAATATTAACGTATGTGATTGTGACGTCCACCGTCTACGATGTTTCCTGGCCTGCCAATACCTGGGCTATATCGCCAAGAGTGCAGTTTGGACTTGCCCATTGCCTCTGTCCTCCAACCCCCCCGGGGGGGGGGGAGATCCACCACATTTAATTATTAGAATATTTATATGCTTAGCAAAAATTGTTAGAATATTTATATGCAATCATTTTTTCAAAAAAAAAAAATACATATTTACTTGTAAAACAAAAACATGGCCTATTTACTTTTATTGATTTGTATTTCCATTTTGTGCTTGGATATGTGTTCTGTTCCAAATTTCAATGTATGATTATTACTCATTTTTAATAAGACTCTTATTAGATATAGGGTATTAAACGGAGGCAGTTACAGATTAAACTAACGTTCATGTGACATTAGATGAGGGCAAAACTGAAAAAGAAATTACATAATGGACTCGCATTTTGTTCGCTCCCTAGTTGGCGTGTTTCTTGCTATGAGGATGGGCGGAATAGAGGAGGAGGAAATGTGCTTATTAAGAAAAGAAAGAGAAGGAGGAAATATATTTATCACATTATTGCAGATGATGGTTTTGATCAGCGGGCTCAATACTGAAAGTCGAATATTTTTAAAAATAAATTTTACCTTTTAAATATTACTTAAGTTTTTTTTTTTTTGCATGTGTGACGAGAACATGATGACACTAAATTACTATTGCCAATTTAAAGCGGGTCATGACTTTAAGAATGCTAATCCAATGACGAGCATCATTGCCGAGAGAAACTTCCCGGAGACGAACGCATCGGCATTTGCATCCAAATGTTTTTGTCGTGTGGATCACTCGCGGTTCGTTTTCTGCGACGTGGAACAATTATTATACGTGAAATTTTAGAAAATGTGAGCATGAGCACTGATTGAAAAGCATGAAAAAAATAAATGAAGATTTCGAAAGTGAATTCCAACCGCAAACAAATAACATGTGCTGTTGGATCACTGCGTGCTGACTTGAGGGGAAAAAAATAGGAGTCAAGAAACAAAATGTTATTTATAATTTTAGGAATGTACTAATCAAGAATCATTATGTTATTCATGAGTCTATGAGTGTACTAACTGTCTGTATCTTTTTTCGCCCGCGTGGAAATATAAAGAGACAACAGAAATAAAGGAAGATAGAATAATAATGGGATGCGGGCTGTAATATGTGTGTGGGCGGAGGCAAGTTATTGGAGAGCAGAAAGCTGATCATCAGAAACACGTCACAGTAATGTGCCGTGGTCGTCTTCTCTTTTAAGAGTAATTAAATCCTAAATCAACCCGTCACGACCGTCATCGTCCATTCATCCTCACCGCTTAACGCACTCACACATATGTAACTTGCAATCCCCAAACACTACAATATCCACGGACCCCACGAGCACATGTACGGATATTCGTAGCAGTTTGAAAATGAAGGTGTGCCCCAAAAACGCCCATCCGCGAGGTGTGATCCTCGGCGGCGGTATATTTGGTACGATGTAGCCAGCAATCGACATTAAACATAAATTTTGAGACACATATATAGCGAATCAGGAACGAGGACGTGTTTGTTGGGATAGCTAGGGATGTTACATACGCGGTTCATTCGTGCGATAAATAACGAGACGGGATGTGGAGCACGAGAGAGCTTGACACAGGGGGGGCCTTTTCCATCGAAACATGCTCTCTATTCCCGCTCCGCCGTCACGTTCCATACCCCAGGAATCCAATTCGTTGTGTACTGGCTAGTATTATTTAAAGCCCATTCTGAAGGGAGAAAAGGCAGCGCCTAATATAAAGCCAAACAAACACGCCGTGCAATCGTATCCTCCCATTCTTAAATTTGCCACTTATAAATGTGCGACGAAGCAATGAATTGGTATGCCATGGACAGCCGCAGAGTTGATGAAGCGGGCAACTTAACCAAGCATGGGTTAACGGGGACGGAATACATAAAAAAGAGCTGTTGCTAGTTGTTGGCCTAACGCACAAGACGCCAAAACCCCGTGGTGGGCTTCACGCCGCCTCCCTTTTCTGGACTCGCCTTTTTCATTTATTCTCTCCACCCCCACGCATGCCATTAGCAACAAGGACCTCCCACACTCATCTCTTCACTCATACGCTCCCTCTAGAATCTCTGCATCATTACAACACACACACACCCCATCCCTTCTCTTTCTTCGTTCCTTTTCATTTATTCAGTTTATCTTCTTCTTGTTTTTCCCCTTAAAATAAAAACAAACACATGCACACAGAACTTCTTTTTTTAAAAAAAGAGAAAGAAAACATATGGCGTACGAATAATGACGAGAGGAGTATTAGATGGCACGGGGAGGTAAGTTTGAGGAACAAGGAGGAGGGGGCGAAGGGGCCCGGAAGAAGGGGAAGGGCGCCTCCGTACAAGAGAGGGCTTCCTTAGTACAGCACTTATTGGGAGGGCGGGGCATGGGGCATGGGGCACGGGGCACGAGGCACGAGGGTTTCGATCCGCTGGATACGACAAAATCCAAAGCCCTTTCCCCCACCCCTCACTCTGCCTTACCTGTGTTGGCGCCTGGCCATATGACAAACGACATGGCGTCACGCGCCCCCCGCAACCTGACAAAACGCGCACCCCCCCTCCTCATCCCTTGGCTTGTCGCCACATGCCTTGGCGTGGTCCGCACGCACCATTCCCTTTTGTCCCCATTCGCCTTCCCTTCGCCTCCCTATTTCCACACATATTTCCCGTTCCTTTCTGCTTTTGACTCCGCCCACTCCCTTCAATGCCCCATTTGTTTGTTCCTTCTCATGCCTCCTCATTTCTCTCAAAATTGCGGCCATCTCCCCACCACTTTCATGCCTTCGTTCCTATCTCCTCCTCCTCCTCCTCCTCTTCCCACATATTTTCTCCTAACGTCAAATTGGCATTTTGTAGCCATTACCGCTTATTTATCAGATTTTTATCAACTTTCTACGACGTTGGCTTTTGTAACTAATTAGGGCGCGAGCTGTCTTAAAAAGCGTGACGCCGATGAATTTTGCTGCACCCACCACCCACACGACTAACTACAAGCGTTTTTTTTTTAAAAAAAAAATCATGACTTTAATTGGGCTCTGGACGCAATTTATTCGTTCATTTATTTTATGAATCGTGAATGTCCTGATTGTCTGTGGGAGTGCCCCTTTACGAGCAATGCCAAAGCAGACCGGCCAATACCCGTCGACCAAACAAACAAACTCGCAAGTCGCTGGTCATTTATCCCTCGCTCAATCCACCGGCCAAGAGACAAAACCACAACAACATTGTTAACCAAAAATCAAGGACGCTCCAAACCTTTTAACTGCCTCTTAATAAATAAATACTGCTTTTATTATCCACCTCTTTTGATTTATATAACAACTACTCCGCAATTAAGATATTAATGATTTCTTATTATTATTTTTTGAGTAAATGATTTCTTATTATTCATATCACCATACTCCGCGGACGACTCACGGATTGGATAATTCTTCTTCACCGTAATTATTTATTTAATAACGGGGAAAACTTGTTCATATTTTAATTTTTTTTTTGAAAGAAGAAACAAATAGGAAATGGGGGGGCCCGCATAAATAGTTTAATTCGGCCGCCCGCTTTGTCGTCTCTATCGTCTCCGTCCGACCCCGTCGTTCCCTTGTGTTTTGACCCTCTCAACTTCTTCCCCCCCTGTCTTCTCTTTTTCTATATCGCCTCTGTCCGTTTCTACCTTCACTCCTCCTTCCTAACATTCTCCCACTTCATTCTCTCCTCCCCCCCCCCCGGGGATATCTGTGATCTCCTGCTTCTCTGAGCTCCCTCTGTCCTCCTTGTTTCAGATACAACTGCTTCTTCTTATTCTATATTGTTAAACCCAGAATTAGTCGGGAGATGTCCACAACTCTCTGACCTTGGAGAGCCAGAGAGAGGGGAGAGACGCCCATCAGTTCTCTGCTTCCCCTCCTCATATCTCTTGAAGGCTCTTCCCCGGTCTTTTCTCTCTCCCTCTCCATGTCTTCAAATTATTGTTATGAGGCGGCTTGAAAGGGTGTCTCCTCTGGGGATCATTCTCGACTTCTAGGCATTTTCTTGGTTTTGGTTCAAATCCTTGCTATACAAACGACAGCGAAGAAAGAGATATATGGCTGGTAGCAATGAAGTCAACCTCAATGAATCCAAGGTACCTTCCTTCTCGGGCAAACTTTTGGGCCTGACTCTATGGTTTCCCGCATCGCTTGCTTGCTTTCTTTTCTCCGCCTTTATAACTGTGCCGTTTTTTGAGTTGCGAGATTTAGGGAAAAAGCTCTAATCTTTTACCTCAATTGATGGTCAATCTTGGGTGAGTCGCTAGGAATTCTTTTTCTTCCCTTTCCTGGTTCTGGTTAATAATGCAAGAGTTTATGATTTGGGTTCGGTCTTTCTTGTATTTTCTGTTCTTCTTCGTAGGCGTAGCTTCCTGGTTTCTTGTTCTGGTAAGTTGGGACTTCCAAGTTTGATTTGGCGCGCCGAGTTGAAGTTTTCTTCTTTTATTTTTGAAGATTTGTGAGGTTTTTTAGGCAAACGCTTGTTTTCCTTTTTGGCTTTGATTTTTCATTGGTCTTCACAATTTTCTGTTTTCGCGAGTGGTAAGAGCCTAGTGCCTCCCCTCATTTAGAACAGTTTATTCGTGAAGTTATCAAGGACTAGGAAAGTCCTCTGTCTCGTAGGATTTCTGGGATCTAGTATACGCAAGAGTTTTAATTTCTTCAATCCTGGTACATTTTGCAGAGTGTTGTGCCGTTGAATACTTGGGTTCTTATTTCCAATTTCAAGCTGGCCTACAATCTACTTAGACGCGCCGACGGAACCTTCAATCGCGAGTTGGCCGAGTTCCTTGACCGGAAGGTGCCCCCCAATACAATTCCGGTCGACGGGGTATTCTCTTTCGACCATGTTGATCGAAATACCGGCCTCTTCAATCGGGTGTATCAACCAGCTCCAGAACATGAGTCCCAGTGGGGCATTTTAGAGCTTGAAAAGCCCTTGAGCACGACCAAGATCGTCCCTGTCATAATTTTCTTCCATGGTGGAAGCTTCTCTCATTCATCTGCTAATAGTGCCATCTACGACACCTTCTGCCGGCGACTTGTGAACATCTGTAAGGCAGTTGTGGTCTCTGTAAACTACCGCCGATCGCCAGAACATCGATATCCGTGTCCATACGACGATGGCTGGGCTGCACTTAAATGGGTTAAATCAAGAACGTGGCTTCAGAGCGGAAAGGATTCCAAGGTTCATGTATACTTGGCCGGCGACAGTTCAGGCGGTAACATCGTTCACCATGTGGCGGCGAGGGCTGCTGAGTCAGATATTGAAGTGCTGGGTAATATTCTGCTTCATCCATTGTTTGGAGGACAGAAGCGTACAGAGTCGGAGAAGAGACTAGATGGGAAGTACTTTGTGAGATTGCAAGACCGTGATTGGTATTGGAGAGCTTTTCTGCCAGAAGGAGAAGACAGAGATCATCCAGCATGCAATCCATTTGGCCCAAGGGGGAAAAACCTTGCAGGACTCAAGTTCCCTAAAAGTCTCGTTTGTGTGGCTGGTTTGGATCTTGTCCAAGATTGGCAACTGGCATATGTGGAAGGTCTCGAGAATTCAGGCCACGAGGTTAAACTTCTTTACCTAAAGGAGGCCACCATCGGGTTCTACTTCCTGCCTAATAATGATCACTTCTATTGCCTTATGGAGGAGATAAACCACTTCGTGAATTCTAACTGTTAATACACCAGTAGTACTTCCACTGCTGCTGCTACCACTTAACCTTACTTAAAGAAGGCTATACATGACAAAAGCTTCACCATTTCCCTTGGCTTCTCTTTCTATTTTTGTATCCACTTTTTGCTCTTCCCCTGCTTTATAGTGGTGATGTGTAGTTATCAAACTGTGTAGCATTACTTCTCACTGGCATAACATCTGTGGTGGTCAACTAGAAAGAGTTCTGGTACTCCTGAGCGTTGATGTCCTTTGAAGGGTAGTGCCTGTTTCAGCGAGCGGGCTTGAAGCACCAGAACTCTTTCATTTGTGGGGCTTTGCTGAATCACCGTATACGAGGCTTACCCCAATTTTAACACTTTGACCTCATCAACAGGAGGGAAGATAAAGGATATGGCTTCATTTCTGAATGTGAACTGCAGCATATCCCTTTCTGTTAGTGAACTTGTATGTAATACCTGTGTTCTAGTTTATATATAAATATTGCTTGTTTGCCCTCTTTTTTCAGTTGGCAGAAGCTAATGTATTAATTTTTCTCTGATGCATGGCTTCGTAACGTTAATGGCCAAAATGATCCGACTAAGCTTTGAGTCGTGACAGTCATGGGGAAGGATCGTTATCAACAGTTACTAAGATTCTGAATCGTTAATGCTTTTAGTCGCTTTACATCTAAGTTTGGCATGAAACACGAGATGCGCCTAAAAGAATAGATGCTAAGAAAAGGGCTAGTTGGACAAGAGGAAAAAGATTATGAAATGTGTTTGCTTGGTCATGAGTCACAAAGGAATGAGCTAGAGACTTGGCGACGAGGACCAACCTGATTGCAAAAGGCAAACCCCATCCACTGAAAACTTGAACAGGAAGAATGATTGGCACGAGTTTGATTCGTGATCATGAACTATGCTATCTTTCAACGTCAAATTGATTAATTCCTGTCATCTCCTCATTGCTTGTTCTAGATAGGTCTGTTTTGGAGCTTGGGGAAACAAGCAAGAACGGGAGTTTGGATTTGTTTTTGATGTGGGGGGAACTATTTTACTGGTAGTTGGGAACTTTGGATGTATTCTTAGGCCTTAGGGACCACTTTTAAGGGTGCCCACGAACCCTCAAAACTCGAATTAAAGTATTAATCTTGTTGGGATCGCTTTGGAGTGCTTCGTAGTCACTAAGTGGCAAAAACAGCTAAGCTCGGATAAGGACATGGAACCCTGTCTTTTGTTGACTTTCTTGGCCCTAGCTTTAAAAATCTACGACTACTTTTTTTTGGGTTGCCCTTTTGAATTAGAGTAACAGGGTATTAATAGGATTTTGTTTGAAGCTTAAATTTTCACCTTTCTTGTGCGGATGATTTTGCTTTTCTTCGTGTCTTGTTATGATGTGTCTCTTGTGAATTAGGTGTTTGTGCCTAGAAATATTCCCTAATACGACAAGAGGCAGTCATTATCAATAAACGGGTTTATCTTTAATGCGTATTGTGGACAAAAGAAATGTAATTTGCTTGGTCGGTAGCATGCTTTTTGATGCATTAAATAAACTATTTGAAGGGCCATTATTTGTGGTTTTGCGCGTTCGCGCCATTATGACAATTCTCTCATTCAGTCGTCATCAGTGATGATAATTCCATGCTTTATATTAATAAATAAATAATTACCAAATCCCCGCTTCTTTTTACTTTCAACTGAAACCCTTTTCCGTGCTTTTTCTGGAGAATTTGATTCTCGCTTCGCTGGAGATATTAATTCCTCAGATCCGTTGAGGCTCCACAAACCGGATAGCACAACAGGCTTATAATTTACTAATTACATGTTCTAAACAGGGAGCGTGATGGGTGACGCGACCCTGCTGCTGTAAAACAATGGGCTGTGGTCGAATCGATAATGATTAAACAAAGTATTCCATGATTAAATATGATATTCTCCGTAGGCTTTGAATGATTGTAGGTCAACTGGGGCCAGGCCACACCAACCCCTCTGGCAAGAGGCAATCTTATAAAAACATAGGCGTCAGAGTTTGCTGGGTTTTTTTTTTTTTTTTTTAAATTTGCAATAAAGTAATGCGGGCGGAAAGTCAGTGACATCTCATGGCTTGGGTCCTCGCCTCATTTTTAATTAAGGAAATGAATCTTCGTGGAAGAAACTGGCATTCGAGCACAAAAGGAAGACTCAGTTGATGTAACGTTTATGTTCTTGCGTGGTTAAATTGGGAGAAGGAACAGAGATAAAGTAAGAGCTGAGGAGATTTTGTTTAATCTCATGGGAAGGGACAAAGGGGTGAAAAGCATAAATAGGGGCTCAACTACCACAAGAGACAGAGTTCGGAACAAGTAACTTGGTTGGCATTACGTGATGAGGAGTCAATATCGGGAAACAGGTAGCTAGTGAGTTGCATGGGTAAATGGCGCCGGGGCCTACTTATCCCTTCGTTATTTTTCTCCCTTCCATTATAACAGCTCTGCCTCTGCCCCATCTCACAGATTCCCTCTTCTTTCAGCTCTCTCCTTTTGACGTTTTCCAATTATTTAATCAGAGAATCACACACTAATTACTCCAAAGTTACAAAGTGAGATCCAGCCAACGAGTTCTCATTCATGGAAAAGCCTTCGTGCCATTAACCTGTAAGGTTATTGCTATTAATTTCATCTTTTAATGCACCAACCTGCGTCATAATATATGTTCCCTTCTTAGTTGTATGTGCTCATTACTTAATTGATTAGAAACATTTCTCTCTGTATTGCCGGGTTGCATGTCGTTTAATAAGTGAGTCACAGAGCATTTTAATGTACACATGACTGATCAGTTGTTAATTATTATGAGTATTATAATCTTGTTAAAACCACTGTTTATGCTGCTTATCTTCCTTTCTCATTTCCCCTTTCACGTGTCCCCCAACCGATCTAAATGCATAATGCCGTGAATATAATAAAATACATAGCGGCAAATATGCAAATTAAGCAAGCAAATAAATTATTAAATTGTTCAATTTTCTCCTATCACATGTCCAAGTTTCCAACTATACACTCTTTCGCGACTGCGTGGGGAAAAAAAACAGAAAAGAAAAAGAAACAGCTCAATATTGAATCGCGGTTATCATCTCTGAATTCTAGACTGTAGTTAATTACTATATATCGACAGGAGATGCACTGATGCTTATTTTCATTTCTATTCACTATTATGAGAATATCGTGAATATTATGAACAATAAAAATTAAGCATGTTAAACAAATCCGCAGGCCTCTCGTCAGAACAAAATACCCAAAACCCCCAGGCCATGGGTCAGATCTTGAAATCCAATTAGGATTGGACTTAGGGACAATGGCTTTATTTTAATTTGAACCTTTTAGCTCGCTTTACTCTAACTTTGGGCCAAGTTGGGCCTTTGTTTTTATAATTTTCCTTGGGGTCCGTTTGGCATGAGAGAAAATGAGAAGGGGGAGGGGAAAAAAATCTTAATAAGCTCCATTTAAAAAATTAAAAATATAAAATTAAAAACTTTTAATTAGTTTTTATTACTTTTTTTATATTACTTCTTCTCTTTATTAGAATTTCAAAACCCCACTTCTCTAATTTTTTGAATATAGTTCATTAAAATTTTCCTCTCCCTCCCCTCCCCTCCATTTCCCAATACCTTAATATCAGCGTATTTCCCTGCTTTGTATAAAAACAGAAAGATTATTTCCCTACTTTGTTAACTATCTTCTCAAAATTTATCTGATTTTTTCAGTTACTCCGTCATCGTTTAATATAATAACTATTTAATTGATTTAAGTGAATTAATAGAATTAAATAAATTATTTAATTTTTATAAATGTAACATGAACTTTCTAAAATATCCTTATATAATATTAGATTGCATATAAATTTATAATTTATATAATTTAATTTACGAGAAAATGATAAATATGAAAAAAATATTAAAATTTTATCTTTAGATGGTTCGGTTTTAGTTTATGACAAATTATTACTGATCAAAGTATAGGTCCGGGGGAAAAATGACCATGAGGCTCAGCGTCCATCATGTAGACAGGGGCGAACAAGGATTATGTAAATATTTAAACAATATTGAAAATTAACCATTTAATATACTCCTCCGATCCTTATTATAAGACCCAATTTGACTTTTTATTTGGTCCTAATTATAAGACCCTAATCCATTTTGTCTCTTATATTTATGCATTTTTTTCCAAGATAATCCTTCTAATAATGATAGTTTTAGCCAATATACTTAAATAGCAAGGATATTTTAGGAATGACAATATTTATTTATTATAAATAACCAACTTAACTTACTTCCTTAATCTTCTCAAATAAGTCAATTGGGTCTTATAATTAGAACCGGAGGAGTACTACTTTTTGTAGTCTTAAATATAAGATGTAATCTATAGTACAATTTATGTTACAAACTAGATCTCATATTTACAATTAGAGGAAGAATTATATAAAATTTATAACCAGCCGTATTATTCACAAATCATGAATAATATTACTCATTCGGTCTTAAATATAAGACTTTTTTTATAGTGATCTGTATTACAAAAAAACGTTTTACATTTAAGATCGGAAGAATATTAATCTGACCATACAAGAGCGTCTGGTTAAACTATTGAAGTAGTCATCATGCTTTGCATGCAGTGTGAGCCAATGAAATGTAGAATATGCAGGGAACTTTATAATCAGGGACCAAGCTAGGAGGATATTTATTTTGAAGTCCCGTAAAAGTTGTATTTATTTATCAGGACGCAATAATGAAAGACTGTGTTAAAAGGAGTGTAGTGTCCCAAATTCTCGAACCAGGTCACAATATATAATATTACCTCATATTCTTAATATAAGATTTAGTTGACTAATTTAGAAAGATTAAAAAAAAATTTTAAGTTAGTTATTTATCATAAATAAATGTTATTTTATTTAAAATATTCTTATTAATTATTTATATTAACTAAAATTACTATTTAACGAAACCGTTAACATGTGCAATTATTACAATAATTAATTTAAAAAATTAAATAATTAAAAAAAAAGAGAATTAAAATATTATATTTATGATTAAATTGGAAGTTAAACAAATTTTTATATTATGGAATAGAGACAAATAATTACTCGGAATTATAGCACCAGCTGGCCTATAAATTTTCCTTCATATCCATTATTACAGACTCATCATCATCGGCTTTGTGTGAAATCATGAGAGCGGTGGCAATGAATGAGGAGACTTATCATCACTTGACGATAAGAAAACTCCAAATGACGCAACGCCACCCGGAGGCAGATATGTTGAGCTGTAAATGTCGCTGCCACCAACTCCTCGCATCGTCCTGTGTCGCATCCTCCACTCCAGGCTAATGTGATTTTTTAAGAAATTTTTATCCTCTTTACGCATGGAAACGAGGCAATTTGAAAATCCTGGCGTATTATAAATTCCCCTTTTGATCCGAAAAGCATTAATATTAATATTAACAAACAAAACATATACTGTCCGACTTATTTAAATAAATTAAACAAACTAGTTAAATTATTTGTTTCTATTAAATATGTGTTGTTTTTTTAAAGTATTTCTGTTAATAATATGTATTAGCTAGAATATCAATCAATATAATACTTAACATGTGTAATTACTATAAGGATTATATTAAATTAATTAATTAATTAAAATGGGAAAATCATAATTAAAGATCTTAGAATTTGAAAAACGCAGATAGAGACCGTGACAACTTTACTGGCTTTTGACAATAATAATATATCATGAAACTGTCAAAACTCACAATGAAGTTGTTAAGAGTCACTGTTTGTGTTTTTCAAATTTTAGGGTCTTTTTTGTGATTTCTTCAATTAAAATCTTATATTTAAAATTATACTAAACTATCTTTTATATTAATTATCCAGTTAGAATACGAAGCAGCTGCGTCTACCTACCCGTTTTCTTCCCTGTTGGCATTTTCAATGAAGTAAGCGTTTCCTGGCAATGGCCTCCTGCTGGCCCAGCAGTGGACAGAATCATCTTCTTTACGTTCACCGGCTTTATCGGTTTATCCATTCCAAATATACAAATAATATCCTTTAGAAACTTTATTTCCCATTTGAAATGCTCCGTTTATATTACCATGCCACCAACCCCAAAAGCAGAAAAATTTGTTAAATTGTACCTTTTTCCTGTTCGCATATTAATCGAAGAATCTTCGCTAAAGACAAAGCAAAAAGAGGTAGATTCTTTGGCCATTCAGCTGACAGAGGTATGATTTTCGTAGCAGTACTTGTCAGCTATTTGCAGATTTATAGTTTTTCCTCCTTTCTTGTTAGCTGTAAAATGTAAATTTTATCATCTTGAATCCTCCGGCTCCACGAGAATTTTCTCTGTTCAGTATAAGGCTGAGGCTTCAGTTTCAGCGGTCTTACACGTCATTGAAGATGCCGTTCAATTTTCTCCTTACTCAGAACTGATTCAACTTTAAGACGGTTCACTGGGTGATACAAGGTATTGAGCTTATGATTCATTTGTGGTTCTGCGACTCAATCATTAGTTACTGAACTTTCTCGGAGCAAGTAAAAGTTTTTGGTGCAAACTGATACTGGGCGATCCTCCAAAAATCACTGGAGAGACACGATGGTCACTCCTCAAACTTAAGGAGTTAAGGATAGGATATTTGCTGTATTTGTAGAACCTGTTATTAGAAGACACAAGATTAAGGTACTCCTGTAAATTTTATGGCTTAAACGTCAACGAGCCACCCCGCCTTCCATTGACAACTAGAGTCAACGAAGAAGCCATCCTTCACAAATGCCACATTTTTTCGATGATTGGGGCCGTCAAAGAACTTAATTGCTGTCAATTACTGCATTAAACCTCAAAGTCGGAAATGGAGTAGATTTATCTGAGTGTCAGCTATTTCGGAAAATGTGATTTCAATAAGAAATGAATGCTAAAAAATGCACTCATCCTTTTGTTCTGTAACTTTTGTAGGATTGACCTTCACGAGGAAACATGAAGACTCTGTAGCAGAAAAGATGCTTAAGCAATACAAAGTTTTGTCAGATGCTGTGAATAATAATTTATTCAATACCAGGTGCAACTTACACTGAAGAAATGGGTTATGCAATGAGTAGGCTGGATATAGAATCTAACCTTTGTGATAGTGGAAATACCGTCCATGAAGGCTGTAGTAGTCGACAGACTAACAAACCAATGAAAATTGTAGACAACGAAATTGCGCAGATTACAAAGTTGAAGTCAACACCCCATCATCTGCTAAGCCGAGTTGGAGCCGGAAGGCCTCAGTTGCCTGTTTCACCTGTCAAAATGTTGGCAGGTCGGGAATCTAATTACTCAGGCTCGGGAAGGTTTTCATCAGCCGATTGTTGTCATATCTTGAGCAGGTATTTGCCAGTCAATGGTCCCTGGCTTATAGATCAAATGGCAACTCGAGCATATGTGTCTCAGTTTTCAGCTGATGGCTCCCTATGTGTTGCTGGATTTCAGGTAATATGTTTTCTACTTCAACTTTTTAATCCTTATAGTTGAGTGTCCCATATATTACCTCTTTTATATAATCATGTTGCATATAATGTACGTTACATCCTGGACTAGAACAGAAGTAATTGAAAATTGAAATATGAAACTGGAACCATGAGTTTCCATCATCGGGAAGTGTGAAGCTTGTCTCATTCATGTCAGTGTTTGTGATTTCTTATATGAAAGAAAGGAGAACAGAAAATATGTATGCAATAGTTTTAATTAAAATGAGAGCATCTATATTACAGGGAAGCCACATAAGAATATACAATGTGGACAAAGGTTGGAAAGTTCAGAAGAATATCCTGGCCAAAAGTTTGAGATGGACAATCACTGATACCTCTCTTTCCCCTGATCAACGCTATCTTGTGAGTTTTTGCATTTCGTTACGCATGAAGCATATATGCCTATGCCTTTACAAATTATGATAGTTCATTTCTCGATATTAGTGCTGTGCATATTTATACTTTCTTTAGCCTTTATACAAATAGCAATTATTCTTTTTAATTTCAGGTTTATGCTAGCATGTCTCCTATTGTGTACATTGTAAATGTTGGGTCTGCTGAGACAGACTCCCTGGCAAATGTTACGGTACTGACTTGTTACTACTAATTCTGCTTGCTGGTTTTTAAATTTTCTCCTAATTGCAATTCAATAAATAGTGTCCTTGTTTCTAAACCTAACGAATGTAAAAGACTGCATCAAGGATTTCAAAATCAAATCTTTAAAGATGTGTGCCAATCAGAACTGCTGTATGTTACATAATAAAAGCCGTATTCTTATCATAAATAATGTGTTCCAGCTCATATGGCATGCAGGAGATTCATGAAGGTTTGGATTTTTCTTCAGATGATGATGGAGGTTACTCTTTTGGAATCTTCTCCGTGAAGTTTTCAACTGATGGGAGAGAGTTAGTTGCTGGAACTAGTGGTGATTCTATTTATGTATATGACCTTGAAGCAAATAAGCTGTCTCTACGAACTTTAGCACACGGGGTAATGATACTAGGCATAAATGCTTCATTTTGTTTAACTTACATTTTACACGACTATGATAAGACCCACTGCCACTTGGACATAGGGAGAGAAACAGGGGGGAATGGCAAAAGGGCAGAAAATGGGGATCTATTGGTCCAAAGGAAAACATCGGGGTTAAAAGTCAGAAAGAGCAGTAAATAGGAGAAAAATAAGGGATTCATGATGAATGGATGGATTTCTGTGGGATATATAAGAAAGAAGAGCAGTGAAGGTTGAGGGCAGAGAAGAACTTTGGAGGTGTGGCTTGGGCCTTTGGGTGGAGAGCGCCAACCTCTAGAAAGTTTGGCAACCTGTTATGTTCAATAGAGTTCGTAGTGTCTGTGGTGCGACTTGTATCTTCTGTTATTGTTATCTGTATCCTCCCTGTGTCAGTTATATTTTGTGTCTCTGTATAAGCATCAGAGTAGTGTTTTACCTGAGTGTAATGTATTTTAGCTCTTTTTTTTTTTTTTTTTTTTTTAAATCTTCGTGTGTAAATCTGTTCTAAACACAGCAAGGGTTTGGAAGCTTTTGGTCAAAGGTCCTATCAGACTATAACAGTAGTGCACTTATAACATGTCCTGGCAGCGTCTAAAGTAAATTTTTTGGGTAAATATTTTTGGGGTCTGAGTTGGAGGCGGGGTGGATGTGATGTGTTCCTTCATTCTTGAAACCATTGAACCCTTGCTTATATGATTAAATATTGGTCTTGAGGTAATGGACAAACATTCAGACACGCATATGCAAAACCACAACTGTTCCAGACCCAGTGGATGGATTTCCATCATCCTTTTTTGGCCCCAGTGAGAAAACTTTTACCTTATATAGTGATTGCGGTGGAACAAAAATATTTGCTAGAGTAGCTTCTAACATTTGATATATTTTTTATGCTGTAGTCTGATGTCAACACAGTATGTTTTGCTGATGAAACGAGCCACCTTATTTACTCCGGAAGTGATGACTCTTTCTGTAAGGTATGTCAGATGGAGTTCAATTAACATTCTTCCAGTTGAGTTTCACAACCTCTACTTGCGTATGGAACTTGCTGCCACCCATAGCATAGGAAGACACTTTAAACACCCTTAACTTTAAGATCTAGGTAATTTGAGAGTTTTTCTTAGTTTATCTGGGTTGATTTTTTCAAATTCTTTTATTTGCTTATTTTCACTTAATCCAAAATTTCCATATAAAGAAGTTTGTGAAAGCAACAAGTTTATTTTGGTTCTTTTTGTCTTTCTAATTGACGCATTCTAAAGAAGAAGGTTTATTTAGGTATGGGATAGACGTTGCTTAAATAATAAAGACAAGCCAGCAGGAGTTCTGATGGGACACCTTGAGGGAATTACATATATTGATAGTCGCGGTGATGGACGCTATTTCATTTCAAATGGCAAAGATCAGACCATCAAACTGTGGGACATTCGCAAAATGTCATCTAATGTTAAGTGGTATGCCCATCCATTAACACCCGACGATATTATATTTTGATGAAGAGATTCTTGATTAAACTCAATCTTAGAAAAGAAGGAAACCAAACAAATCATACATAGAAATCTAAGCATGTAAAAAAATGAGTCAGATTGAAAATTCTGCCTGACATGTTTAAATGTGCGCTCGTAATTGGATTGATCTGTCAGATCTATTTACGAAATTGTCATTTTGCTGTCTATGTATTGTTCGTTAAAATGGCATACCGTCTAGTAATTTTCTTGTCTTCAACGATTGTCTGTTTGTACGTTTAGAAAATTGAAAGATCACATGATGAATTTCTAAATTCAAGGTAAGGACTTACAATATTTATAGACCTTCTAAGCTAGCTGTTGAAATGTCTATCATAGCGTATTATTCTGGGAGGGCGATAATATATAGCTTCTAGAGGATATATTACTGTTGCATCAATGAGCTATAACAAAATTTTCTCTTCATTTAAGCAATCCTGGGTATAGGAGTTACGAATGGGATTACAGATGGATGGATTACCCACCTCAGGCAAAAGATTTGAAGCACCCATATGATCAGTCAGTGGCAACATATAGAGGTCATTCTGTTTTGCGTACTCTTATCCGCTGCTATTTCTCCCCAGCATTTAGGTGAGCATTGAGTCAAACTGGCATTTTTTTTTGTCCTTTTTCTTTTTGTGTTCTACTTATGAATTTCTTTTAGCCAATCAAGTTTTCATGGCGACTCTGGATCCAATCTCTGAAAAATCATGATTTGATATGGCTTGATGATTTGCCTATGTGTTTTGCAAAAGGAGGAAAGAACAATGGGTGGGACAAGATAGACAAATCTTCCACCCAATTTGCTGGGCAATTTAATCTGTGAAATCTAGATATTGGTTTCTCCCTTCAAGATATTATTGACCTTAATCATAGGCCATTATGAATTAATATTTCATTTCATTAATGTCTGCTTCTTCAAATGTGCAGCACTGGCCAAAAGTACATCTATACTGGATCACACAATGCGTGTGTTTATATATATGATCTGGTATGTAATACCAACACACTAGTGCTATATCTATCTACATTCACTTCTGTAGTAAAAAGTAGTGAAGGAAATGGAGTTTTGACTGATTGTGTATGTTGGAACAGTTGAGTGGAGCGCAAGTTGCAGCACTGAAGCACCACAAATCTCCAGTAAGGGATTGTAGCTGGCATCCTTACCAAACTACGCTGGTTAGCTCCTCATGGGATGGCGATGTTGTGAAATGGGGGTTTCCTGGGAGCAGTGAAGTTCCAGCCCCTTCCACTAAGATGAGAATCTGGAGAACACGCTTTTTTGAAGATTAAAACAGCGTCTCTCGCTAATCAAAGTTTGTGCTTCGTGCTTGACATGTCATGAAGTTTCATATGAACTTTATGTTCCAAATTTCACCGTGTATAAATAATCACGCAAATAAGTTGAGTTCATTTACGTGCCCATCACATCCCCTGTTCTGTAAATCTGCCTCATTATGCTTTTTAACTCTTCAGCCCAAGCTTCTGCTTGTGTGCTAATAATTATTGTGTACATATTTCAAAAGATCAAACATAATGATGAATGATTCTGATTTCTCTTTCGTGGCGCCTTTGCTCCTTCTGTCCTTCACGTTATATAAAAGCATCAAATGCATAGTAATTTTTTTTATAATAAAAATAACGATAGTTGAATATGTATATATTTTTGGCCAAGAATAACGTTACCTAAATAATCTTTATGACTCAATATTAGCGAGTTAGGTCCTTTAATTTTAGTACACTAATATTTTGACCAAATTCAAGTGCGCATCACCGTTGCTTGTGTCATTGACGCTGTGAGATGGGTGGTTTCTCGTTGAAAGGGATGGGCGCTACCTGCCCTTGCTGTCCGGTAATGATCCCAAAGATGAGAAAGGCACAGAGAAATAATGGGGCAATGAAGACTGAGATTCTGTTATATGTTAAAAGACTGTCATGGCGTAACATAAAGGAGTCTACATACATGTCAAAGAAATGGTTTTGAAGATACAACAGATAAATATACACGGACATTGTTATTTTGGAGGATAAAGACGCATGGTGCAGTGCATGGAAATTTCCTATTCTGTGTTTGTAAGAACGACGCCAAAAAAAGCTTAAGTTGTCAGCAGTAGCACTCAGCAAGACAACAATCGGAGACGATAGAATGAGTTGGATAGTAAAGCATGGGTCTACGTTGTTAGACTTGGAGCATGTGTGTGTTAAAGTAGTTTAACTGCCGCTTCACTCTTCCCACTCCATACTCACCTAATCCCTGTCTTCTAACACTTTGTCTTCCTTTCCTATCATGTGCTTCCTTTCTCCTTTTGCCCCCACAGGGCGACAATGAGTAGCTTCCAATGTAAAATAACAAAAAGTGACTTCTCCATGTAAGCAAAGCTAGAATCTTTCTAGAAAAGCAACACCCCAGAAATTAAAAAACAAATAAACCCAATGATGAGTAGTTCTGTAATTGACAACTCCGGGCAGAAAATGAACCATCATGCTAAAATAATGGATCACGGTACATTAGTAAACAGTACGTAATATGGAACATTGACTTGCAGCTGCAGCTTCTTTTCTCTATTCACAAATCTTATTCACTCCATCAATTTTCGCCAGTAACCCCAGCAATTAAATAAACGAATAAAAAGGCATAAACATAAATATAAATATAAAAATAGAATGCAGAAAAAAACTGTATGATTTGGAGATCGGCATGATGCTTAGTTTAGCCCCTCCATTAGTTGCACTGAGAAGATGGCCTCGATTTCTGATTCCCGGCCTTCAGAGGGCAAGTGGTCTCTACGGGCGGGACCATGCAATTATACTGTAGACACAAGGAGCTGCTTAGAGGAATCTCAGCCGTCGGACTGATCGCTATCCCCGTCAGAAAATTGTGCTGTAAGTAGAGGATCTGTATGGTCGCATCCAATAACCGATCCGCGAAGCTGCTCGGAACCTGACCCGTGAACCGGTTGTTGTTGAGGTATAGATTTTGTACTGTTGAGAACATGGGCGACACTTGGCCCGACAACCGGTTGTAGCTCAGATCAACGGTTGGGATTTTCACCTGATCAACCGGTTGGACTACTCCCCAAAAATCATTCCTTTCTAATTGTAGATTGGTGAGCGGAAAAGAGAATATCCGACCCGGAAGGATGCCCGAGAATTTGTTCAGGCTAAGATCCAGATAGTTCAATTGGTCCATCCGGTTCAACAGCCGATCCACTGGCCCACTCAACTGATTCCACGATAGCGATAGATACTGGAGGGAGGCCGGGAGAGAATCGGGAGCCAGCGAACCGGAGAGAGCATTGTGCTTCAGGTCGAGCCGGGTTAGCGTCTGCGATGCAAACTTAGGCACCGAACCGGCAAGGTGGTTGTGGCACAGGATCACATTGTTTAACCCCGGTAATGCTCCGATCGACGGAGGAATGATTCCGGTCAACTGATTGTAGCTGAGGTCGAGGGTTTTGAGATTGCGCAACTGACCGAGGGTACCCGGAATCTCACCAGAAATGAAGTTCCGGCTGATGCCGAGGAATCTGAGGCTCTTCAAGTTAGATAATGTCAGTGGCAGAGAGCCGTATATCCTACCTGGAACTACCGTGAACTCGGCGAGAGAAGATAGCCTGCCGATGGCTGGGTCGAGCTTGCCGGTTAGGCCAGGGGCACCGGCTCTGGGATCCCCGAGATTGAGAGTAATGACCTTATCGGAATCACAGTAAACGCCGGCGAAATTACATGGGTCGGAAGTGAAATCCCAAGAAGAAAGGAAACTGGATCCCGGCATGTCTTGCAGAGCCTTGCGAATGGATTGCAGAGCCAAGAAATCAACAGGGTCCAAAATGGCACGCACATGTAAATGACGTTGTGTCTGTATCAAACACATGAAAAGCAGCACGTATGAACCAATGCCACACCAGGATGCCCTTTGATCCGCCATGAAGGGAAAACTGAAGCTCCAGTCAAAGAAAGTAATGAAAGATGAGGGGGTCAAAAGCGTAACGTGAAAGAAGAGGGAGGGTTCGATGGATTTTTATAAGGGAAACAAAGGGAGCTTTTTTGGAGGCAGAGAACGCTTTTCCGTGAGAAGAACCTACCGGTTTCTCGTGGGAAACGGCGTGAAAGCTTTAATGGTGGAACTATATATCAGCATGAAACACAAATAGCCCGGGCAAAGATTACAGAGGAAGAATTTCGTAAACAGGAAAACGGGTTAAACAGAGAAAGAGATGGGAAGAAAGAGTGAGAAACAGATGGCTTGAAAGAGAAGCAAATGCTGAATCTTTTTCCTTTGTGGTACCACTCTCAATCGCTATGCTTTTTCATTATTTTGGCTTCTCAGAGAAGAAGCAATGACTACCCCAGACGTTGATACTAACCCCGATTCTCTTTCTCCCTCTATATATCAGCAGCAACTCCGAGATAAGTTTCAGGCAAAATGGCAAATACAGATACTTTAATCGTATAGTGATTTTAATAATGGCGTGTTTTTTTGTTTCTTCACAAGGCATAGGCTGGGATCAAACGGTTGTCCGAGCCTACGTGGGCTCCAGACCTGAGATCTGGACGACAGCTCATGCGGTTCCACGCGGTGGTTCGGGTGCAGATCACGTGACCACGCACGCAGTCTTGTTCCTCCAAAAGCATAAACGACGGCTTTCTTGAAATTTTAGTGGGTCTTAGCACCCGTACTCGTAGCCTTCCCTTCCATACCATACGTTGAATTTTTTAAAAAAAATATTTCAATTCTGCCCAAATGCCACATGTTGATGGCACGTGTCAGACCCCTTTTTTTTTCCCACCCCCAAAACAAATTCCAGGACTAGGCAAAGCTGTCACTTGTCCTCTATCCACCGATATTGACAAAAGAAAAACAATAGTAAAGCGAAATGTGATATATTTGTTTTGCTTAAAGAAATAATTTGTGATTAATAATATAATACAAGCGCAGAGTTAAATGAAAAGAGGTGGGTGAGCACAGAAAGTAAGCGGGGGTCGGGTTTTGATGTGGTAGAAGGCAAAAAAAAAAAAAAAAGAGGCAAAGGCGTAGGTAATGCGTGAGGATGGGGATGGGTATTGGGTAAGAGACAGCTAGCGATGCTGTAAAAGAATAGAAAGGCGAGACGTGGGTGGTGGTATTGTCTTCTCTTGTTGTTTCTTGTGTGGACTGGACTGGACTGCCATTCTCTTTTATTTCACCAGTCAATGGACCCAGCTCAGGCTCCCACTCACGCACTTCTTGTGCATTTTTCTCTCTGCCAAACCTCACCCTTTCTCTGCCGCCTAGCTGTTTCTGTACAACTTCACACTTTTAATCTCCTCTTCTTCTTTCTCATATGACATTTAAACTAAATAAAAACAAGCAAGAAAGAGAAATTTAACCACCCCCTTTTGGTTTGATTGCAAGGTAACTTGAAGCTGAAGTTAGCCCCTAATAGACACACAGGTTAGAAAGAGATGTGTTTCAGTTGGAGTCAAAGATATGGATTGTTGAAGCTTGTCTACCCTTTTTAACCAAATACCATGTGACACAGAACGAAAGTCAACATTTAACAGAATCACACCAACCATATCAGGTGCTCCCAAGCGTACTTGAGCAAAGTTTATTTCATTTCCATTTTCTTTTCTGCACCTTTTTCTTTAGTTTTACTTGCTTCCGCTGTGATAGAGTCCCCAGCAAGCCAACTTCTCTAATAATCCATCTTACTTAACATCTTTTGCCCCAGCAGGCTATTACGTTGAGCCCAAGTTATTGTTAATATCAAATCTGAACGATGACGACCTGCATAATGATATTTCCTTCCACTTCGTCAAACTCATGAATTATGACTGTGAGAGAACAAGTGACTATGGTCCCAAAAATTTAGAGACGAACAGTCATAGTACTATCGATAAACATATATAATCAAAATTACTTGAACTGCTCCGTTCCTAATTTGGCAGAATAGAAATCAATGAAGGCAGCTCTCAGAAACAGTTCGAATGGCCCCCCTTTTGTTCATTAAAAGAAGTGTGGAGAGGTGTAAGGATCACACCAACTCCAACAAAACCAAAGCCCCCACTCTTCTTCTTTTTTTTCTCTCAAAATTTCCTCGCCTAGTAAATGACCTTCAATTATGGAGGTTGAGGTAGCCTGATGAATAGTCATTGCACTATATATAGGTCTATTTATTTTCCCTCAACGTCCCTACAAGATTCATCGAGCACGCGTATTATAATTTAAACTGTTATGCCGTCTTTTTCATATTTGCTACGCTACCATGATCGCGCATAGGCTGATCTTCAAGCCATTGCAAAACTAATCAACCATTATCCATACAAGGAAATTGTTGGGGGTTTCTTAATTAAAGTTCCTATTAAGACTCCAAATTCGATGCATCAGGTAACAAGGCTTATAATAATTGAGTCATTCCATATTACCACTGAGTATTTGGTCTGTTACACACATGGACCCGGCGTACATTGTCTTCACCTGTTTTCCATATATGCCATTCAGATCTGCAACCTCTTGCCCATCTATTTTATGCGTCTCAAGTTACATGAAACTGAACTCGAAGAGGCTTTAAACTACTACCTCTTATCCTTAATACAGGACCTCATTTGATTTTTATTTTGGTTATAAATATAAGACCCTCAATCCACTTTGTTTTTAATATTTATGTTTTTTTTTTTAAGATAGTCCTTCGAACAATAGTATTCTAGCCAATACATTTAATTAGTAAGGATATTTTAAGAAAGACAACACCTATTTACAACAAATAACCAACTTAACTTTTTTCCTTAATCTTCTTAAATTAGTCAACTAATTCTTATAATTAAAACCAGAAGTAGTATGTAATATAATAATGACAAAGCAACTGTGCTCTCTTTTTGCAGAGAAGTCCAAACTTTTGTCTCTGCCTAAATAATAATTTTGCCCAAAGATTTACTTAATAATATTTGAAAGTTTAAGAATGGAAGGAAATAACGGAGACTAAAATATCTCGAAGAAATTATTTGCCACAGTCGTGTGATTAGTTCAGTATATAATTTGAAAACTTACAAATTACCCGGCTTTCATATGTCGAGGCTGGGTTATAGTCTAATGGATGTCATGCTATTCTCCTAAACGTCACGTACACATGAGCGCATCAGGCCCAAACTCCTTTCTGGCCGAAAAAGGCCCAAACTCCTTATATTAGGGAAAGTTGTCATGTACTCCTCCTGTTGTACAACAGAACTGCCCGAATGGATGCGGAATGGCTTGCTACAACGATTGACTTGAAAGTTGAAACTTGTATGTAATTCAATTTACATGAATTAGCAAACTCATAATGAATACGTCTGTGTCTTCCTATGGTGTCTTAGCTTTTTCCATACACTTGACATACACATGTTTGATCAAGAAGCTAGGGAGGGCAGAGAAGGATAGAGGAAGCTGATGTTCAATTCGTTAGGGCTACTACTCAGAATGGAGGAGCTCTTCCTCCAGGACTTTACGAACAAACGAAAGTCGAGTCTTCTTCATGTGCTTGCAGCCGCTAAGGTTGCCGCTCAGAAGCTGCACAACCTGCACCAATATCTCACTTGCTAAATCAACTTTTGTGAAAAGCACTAGATTTGCTCATATCTCACTTCTAGAACACTGAATGAAGAGCATATATACAAGTTTCGTTGAAATTTAAGGAGAAAATACCTGTCTCATGGAGGGCCGACGAATTGCGGATTGTTGGATGCACAAAGAGACTACCAAGAGCGCCAAATGAATCTGACGACAGTCATAGTCTTGGCCTAGTGAAGGGTCAACCAACTCCCTAATATCATTCTTTTTCAGCAATGGTCTTGCCTGAAATGAAGTTAACATAAAGGGGAAAACATACTGATGCGGTCAGTATTCTATTCGCCGCGTACGAGGAGGGGGATCTGCGTTGAAGCCAGATAACATCCATACCCACAAAACAAGGCTTTGCTGTGAATAATCAAGTGCTCGCCGCCCAGTGACCAATTCCAAAAGCAATACACCGAAGGCATATACATCTGTTTTCTCGTCTACTATGCCATGAAGCAAGTATTCTGGAGCAAGGTAGCTGTGACAATCCAGATGGGAATTTTTAGTTTTAAATTAAATTTAAAACCATGTTTTGTAACGTAACGGGCCAAAGAGTAATTGGAAAGGTCACAATTCACAAACCCAAAAGTCCCTTCAAATTTTGAAACGGTGTGATGAGTCCAATTCTCCGGTAGCCATTTTGCCAGCCCAAAATCACAAATCTACAATATAATTTCGCCAATCAAATTCTGGAAGTTAACCGAGGATAGACTGTACATTAGACAACAGCAGTACTTCTTTTTTGTGCAAGCTACGTTGGTCAAGAGTAAAATATAGAAATAAAGCACGCCGAGCACATGCCTGAGGTTCAAAGTCCTTCATAAGCAAGATATTTGCAGCCTTTATATCCCTGTGGATAATTCTCCTATGACAACCCTCGTGAAGATAAAGTATACCTTTAGCCGTTCCCAACGCAATTTTGTGCCTTGCGCACCATGGTAGTTTCTCCTTCGAACCTTGCGCAAAATCCCAAAAGATAAACAAATTGAAATTGAAAAGGTCAGTGAATTCGGGTCTAAGAATTGGTAACACGGGAAATTCATGACTGAGAATTGTGGGCATACCATAAAGCAACGAAGTTAAGCTCCCCTTTTCGGACAATTCGAGGACAAGATGCATTCCTCCTTCCACTCCATAGCCAACCAACTTAGAAGTATTGGGATGGTTCACATGCGCCATTATGCCCAGTTCTGATAAAAAGTCCCCTATGATCTCATCTGGGGTTCCTCGAGTTAGCCGTTTAATTGCCACCAGTTGACCATTTCGCAAACACCCTTTGTAAACTTCAGCATAACCTCCTTTTCCAATCAAATTCTCTGCACCAAATAACGTAAAATTTTACAAGACTATCTCGTATTATTAACAAAGATAACTCAGAGGCGAATTACATACTCTGGCTGAAATGATTGGTTGCCATTTGAATGTCATGGTAGGAGAAGATCTTGCATGGTAATCTGTGGGGGGATGAATCTGCATCAATGTAATGATTTGGCAGTGTAGTCTCCCTTGTGCCACGACTGAATCTCCTGGAGAGCTTGAGAACACTCAGAAAATGCAATGGGGCTATAGGTTTCTTTGATCTGGTCCCCAACGACTGAAGGAAACCGGGCCATCTAGAAGCAGGTGTTGACTTATCGTCTTCAGAGCCAGAACCCACCGTGGGTTCTTTGGAATAGGAGCCACTAGTTTCTGACTCTGGACTTCCAAAATATTCCTCCAGAACTCCAACGGGAGAATCTACCTTCTCATTCATTTCTTTTTGTTTTGGAGACCCAAAAAAGCAAAAAACCTACTCACCTTCTACTCGCCCTGAGTTTGGTTCAGAAGGCAGAACAAAATGAGGAATTCGAAGCCACTCATCAGACGGAAAAATGGAAAGGCAACCGACAACTATACTGTGCGAGAAAATGGAAACCACTAAGAACCGCTGTATTCGAGAAAAGAAATACCACGAAATACAGGCTTCCAACGGACGCTAAACTATCAGAATGGATGCTCAGAAAATATCAAAGAAATAGCGTGGAAGTAGAGGGAAGAGGAGAGGAACAGGGGAGGGCAGAGCAGTAAAAAGCAGAGGACAGAATCAGAGACGCAGACGTGATAAGTTCATTGCTTGGCCTCCCCGCTTCAACAAACAACAATCACTCTCCTTTTCAATGTTGCAGGCTCACAAGTCCACGTCCTGATCTCAAACATGTAAAAAGGAATTATTTTGGTTAATTTCGGATAGAAGATGGAGGCGTGGTAACGAAAAATGGAGAGTTACGTTGACGATACCGTCGGTTGAGGTAGAAAATTAGGAAGGAAATTAGAGTTAGGGTGTGGTGAGGTCATAAATGGGGGTAAGTGTCCGTGCAGGGGTGGCTGTGTGAGCTTCACTGTCAGAAAGTACGGTGCTTGGCAATGCTGACACTTTGCTTCGTCTCTCAACATCTGTCCTCTCCACACTCCACCATCAACATCAACCTTCCCCCCTCTCTCACAGGGCCAGGGAGCCAAAAAGATTTGAATTTCTTGTTTTTAATTGTAAATGTAGCCATGTAGGCGACAAATTAACGTACGCACTACATTGAGATGGAAGAATTTTCTGCTGGTCAAAAAAAAGATGGGGGAATTTTTTCAATCATGCTTATATTTGGTCCCAGGAAAAAAAAGGATGCCAGGCTCTTAGGACTTGGAAGCACTTAGGTTTATGAAATGCCTAAAATCCAATTTCGATTTCTCAGGTTTTACTCATTCAGGAAGCAATCATAATTATGAAATTAATTAGAAGAACATTTAAGATCGCGAGGCAGTTTCAGTTTATGCGTGGCCACTGGCCATGTCGAAATCGTCGTCGCCATTATTAGCGCTATTAATTATGTGAGGGACCTTATTAATTAACACTTTATCATTGGCCATTAATTAAGAAGTCACCCTCCCCCACAAAGCTAAGTTTTCCACCATTTACATTGGTAACCTCCTCTAAACCTAACGTGCAAATTGATGTATGGACTCTCAATCAATTGCCACTTTGCTTCGTAAATCTCCTCACAAACAGCGTAACATACGTTTATTTCCTATGCCAATCGTCCTATCCCACCATCCCATCATATTTTAAGTATAGATACTTCAATCTAATTCGTTGGCGTGTTTTATGACGCAGTCGCTATATGCAAAATCCAAATTGAAATTATCTGAGGGGGACCAAATTTAATCATGCTGATCAGATAATAATCATACCTGCACCCTGTATAAATCTCTCCTCGTTTTATCACGCCATCTAGTTGGTATAATTTATCATCATCTAATTAAGTATTTCTGCTTTTCTTTATGCATGGACGGTAGTGTCTTTTTCTTGCACTCATTAATATAAGCGACAGGTTGAGATATCAGATAACTTTCATTTAGAAACCAGAAAGTGACCCCCAATATATGACGTCGGACAGGTTGGTGTTTAAGCACGTCGTCAACGTTCATTTGGTATTTTGGTACCGGTTGGTGATTTCTTACCCATCTCACCACAGAAAAGCCAGATTTTCCCGTGTTCAGTACCATGATCTTGTATCGCCACCCAATGCCCTTAGTTTCATTTTCTCCCTACATTGTCAGTGTTGGTTGAAATTCTCTATCAGACTTAACACGACGCATAACGGTTTAACGACCAATAAAATGACCGGATTCCATTTTTAATATATTTCCCCTTTACCAACAACGAACTTAATGCAATGGTGAATTTTAGTCCCAATGGGAAAAAAGTCCTGATTTTTTCGATCATGTTTTCTTTGACAATTTGTTTATGGACCAAATGTACGATGGTTTGTTGACCAGCAAACTGATTTAATAAGTTCATTTAATTTTCCTGACAACCAGAAGCCAAGAAAACGCACACGCTGTGGACTCAGAAATCTCATATACATGCAACAGTCAAGCAATCGCAAAATCCAAGGGCCACGAAGCGTGAACAGTGTTTATTGCATTTGCACTATATTTTGTGCATGGCCCGAGCATAAAAGTTCTTCTTCTCCGCCATGCCTTGAGAACAGAAGGGAGGACATGCGAAACTGATTCTAGAGCAAGTAAAACAGTGTTTGAAAACGAGCAGCAAGTGTGAATATTGAAATTTGAAGTGTGAATTCACAACAAAAGTGAATGATTAAAATTTGAAGTGCGGTTCACAAGAAATACAAAAGATTTCACAACTCAAAATATAAATGTTTGAATGTGAATGAACTTGTGGATTCTCTTATTAGTTTTATAATGTTTATGTTTCGTATGAATCATTGAATTTTGATTGTAAATAGCTGAGTTTTTATTATAAATTGTTAAATTTTACTTATTCATTCACATTCAAACATTTACATTTTGAGTTGTGAATTTCTTTTTATTTTTTGTGAATCACCGAATTTGGGTTGTAAATTCATGAATTTTTGTCGTAAATCTTCAAATTTTACTTGTTCATTCACAATTAAATACTTGCATTTGGGGTAGTGAATTCCATTATGTTACTTACAAATCGCTAAATTTTTGTTATAAATTACTAAATTTCATTTGTAAATTGTTGAATTTTATTTGTTCACTTACACTTGGACACTTAAATTTGTCTTATTATATGTTATATATATTTTTCTTTGCATTACATAATTAAATGGTTTGATTGGCTTAATAGTCATATTACTTTTAGTGTGTCAAAAGATCATGGGTTTAAACCTTTCCCTGACCAGTTTATTTTAAAAAAATATCATTCGACCAATTATAGTGATAATTTACATTTATTTTTTAAAAAAATAAAAATAAAAGTTATTATTGTAATCTTGCTATTAATTTTAATTTTATTTTGGTTCAAAGAGGGGTTGACTGAAATTTTGAAATGTTAAGTGTTGACTGATATTAATCGGCTACAATAGTCCTTAAATAAATTTTTCCCCTTATTTTATCATAACTAGACCAGAAGCTTTGGGGTTTCCCCTTCGTGCATTTTATATTCACTTTTTTGTCCCAAAGCAGTGGATGGGAAGAAAAGAAGGGTTTTAGGAAGGTCAAAACACCATTTTTGCAACGCGTCGAGTTTTTGGAAGCATCCTTTTTAGGGTTAGGTATTCCTGCAATTAACATGCCTTTCTTGGTGCATAAGCGGTAAGTACCTCGTCCACCATCGTCAACATGGTACAGCTCCTCGCCCGCCATGTCTCTTTCCAACTGTTCAATTTCAAACTCCCTCTTCTATCAACGCATTCGCTGCACTCGTTCTCACCCTTCCACTTCTTTGACTCTGTAATGCCTCTTTTTCAATGCCACCGTCATCAATGTCTCTTTTCTTCCTCCTCCTCCTCCTCCTCGCTTTCTCACGGCCTCACCTATCTGCAAACAACGCGCCTTGCCCCCTCAAATTCACCATCCTTCGCGACGTCACCGGCAGTGTCAGACTACCTCGCGATCCCTCCACCCACTGCCAGTACGTCCGCAATGCTCTCCATCTTGTTCAATCCGATTATCTCCGCCGCTCTGGCTTCTTCCTTCCTCCCCTCAACTCTTCTGACTCCTGTTGGAATGATTTCCACTCTCACACTCGTCAATTTGACTCCAACTTTGATATTCGTTTCTCTTGTGGATTTCGAACCAGCTGGATCTCCCAGGGATGCATGAATATCACTACCCGAAAACAATTCGAAGCCTTTGTTTCCGAGCCGGTTCTTCAAGATGTGCAGTCGAGTTGCAGTCACTCGCTTGCGCATAAATCCCCTTGCTCTCTTTGTATTACTAGCCTGGCCAAGTTGTCCGCTTTGTACTTGAGTGGACCGTCGACTGGGAACGTCTCCAATTGCAGGGACTATTCATCAATTTATGCCGCTGCTTTCGTCAATCAGTATGGTCCCACCGACACCGGGACTGCTAAGTGCTTATTCTCCACGGATCTTGAATCTGCGAGCTCCAGTCGCAGGGTGGAGCACATTGTTATTGCGCTTGCTTTCGTCGTTTGTGTGTTGGGTTTGTTATTCGTGATTGGTGGGTTCTGGCTTTGTCGGAGATTGAACAAGAATAATAAGAGAATGAGAAAGTACAATATTAGCAGAACTGAGACGGTGCTCAATTCTGGGTTGAATTCCTTGAATGAGAGCACCACCTTGATCAGGTTCGCATTTGATGACATTAGGAAGGCAACTAGGAACTTCAGCCTGGACAACTTAATTGGGAGAGGAGGATACGGGAACGTGTATGGAGGCGTATTACCTGATGGGAGTGAAGTTGCAGTGAAAAGATTCAAGAACTGTTCGGCTGCAGGGGATGCGAGTTTCACTCACGAAGTTGAGGTCATTGCAAGCGTGAGGCATGTAAACCTTGTCGCCCTGAGAGGCTATTGCACTGCCACAACTAACTTAGAGGGTCACCAGAGGATTATTGTCTGTGATTTGATGAAGAATGGGAGTCTTCAAGATCATTTGTTCGGTTCTTCGGGGAAGAAACTCAGTTGGCCGACCCGTCAAAAGATTGCACTGGGCACTGCAAGAGGATTGGCTTATCTGCATTACGGGGCCCAGCCAACCATCATCCACAGGGATATAAAAGCCAGCAATATACTTCTGGACGACAAGTTTGAAGCAAAAGTCGCGGACTTTGGACTTGCAAAATTCTACTCGGAGGGAATGACGCACATGAGCACTAGGGTAGTTGGAACTATGGGGTATGTTGCTCCAGAGTATGCATTGTATGGACAGTTAACGGAAAGAAGTGATGTTTTCAGTTATGGTGTTGTGCTTCTTGAACTCTTGAGTGGGAGAAAAGCTCTTCAAATCAACGACGATGGCCAACCCTCTGCTCTCACTGATTGGGCCTGGTCACTGGTTAGAACAGGTCGACCTTTGGACGTAATTGAAGATGGGATGCCAGAAACTGGTGCACCACAGGTTATGGAGAAATATGTGTTGGTTGCTGTAGTTTGTTCTCACCCACAGTTATATGCGAGGCCGACAATGGACCAGGTGATGAGGATGTTGGAGTCGGATGAATCAGTACCAGCTATTCCTCAGAGACCCATTCCTCTGGTTGCTAGGAGGACTGATATTGAGAGAGCTATCAGCAGTTGTACATTTGAGGGTGACCATCATTCTTCTTTTAATTCTAAGAATGAAAATGAACCAAGTTGAGGATCCAGAATCATGAGTGTATATAACTGTACTCCCCGGGTTGGTTTCGATGTGATTAGTTTTTTTCCTTTTTTTTTTTTTCCTAATATAATATTGGATTGCTGGTTGCCGGAAGCATTGTATGTAGA